CCCAAATAATCCCTCCCCCACTGCAACAAAAATATTGCAATAATTAAGCATTTGTGTCAACCAAAAAGTATCCCAAAATCTTTTGAGCTTGTAGGGAGACCTGCTGCCAATAAGGCATTAAATCTGAGGGAAACATTTCTGCAATTACTGATCAAATACAATACAACTAAATTTCACCTTCAGCATATCATTTTGATAATGAGTATGGAAATTATCCATTCAATAGCTATTCAAAAATAACTCACAAAGATTGGTTACTAGATACTTCACAGACCTTTAGAATAATCCTTTCTAATCAGGCTGATGGGAATTCAATAGGCAACATTCACTTTGGACAAAATAACCTTTCAGGGTTTGCAGGACTTCGGGCTTGCTTCTTCTCCTACTCGCTGTCCCAGAGATGGAAGCACAAACATCCAAAAAGGCAGAGTCTGTTTCCCTATGGTCGGGGATGCTGCCCAATACCCACCAAGGCTCAGTGCAGACAGCTGTGCCTCCAAGTTAAGTGAGGCGCCTTAATACTTATCAATCAGGAATCAGCAGGGCTTCTAGAGTTGTCCTCATTAAATTTAAAGTATATTCTCTCCCCAGCAGCAAATGTCTCCATTGCCATCCATCTCTGCACAGCCAATTTTAGGCAATCAAAGAGTGTTGGCTTCATCACTGTCTCCGATCGCATTTCCAGCTTGACACAGCTCTTCCCAGTTTCCCTGATCCTTGACAACCAGTAGCTATCTTCCTCTTTTTGCGTCCAACTGGCCCTGCCTCTTGGCCATTTTCAATTCTTTTATTTTTTCACAGGTTTTCACAGGTCAGGATGTTTTTGCCCATAAAAGATGCCACTCCTACTTGTTCCAACCAACATGCTTGTCATGGCTTGTGTTTAAATGTCTCTCAAAGCCTCATGAATCTAGAGTGTGTGAATTCTTGTTGGGGCTATGCCCGAGGGCACTAGGATTAAGGGTGTGAGTGCTGCCCACCCTAAATTGTCAGGATGGGATAAAAGGTGCAGAAAGACCCTGTTAAAGTCTCTTGTTGCTTTTGCTGGCTTCTGCTACCATGAACTGTTGCCCTTCTGCCACTCTGCATTGGAGCCAGCCAATTACGGACTGAAACCTCTACAAACTGCAAGCCAAATAAACCTTTCTCCCTTTAACTTTGGGTGCCCGGTATTTTATCTCAGCAATGAGAGAAAAGTAACTGAGACAATGCTCCTGGTTCCCCATATTCTACTTCTCACTTAGCTCTTAGTGTTAGATACTTAATGTTTTATGTCCACTTATTCAAGAAGACCATGCAGTGAGGCTGAAAAGAATAATTACTGACTGAGATCAGAAAATATTGCTCTACACCTGCTTAGTTGTGTGATACTCAAGCAGCTCTCTTATTTAATCTGTGTCTCAGTTTCCTTAACTGTGATTTGGGAATAATCATAACTCTTTCCTCGTGTCATTATTGTGAGACTCAAATGCTATAGAATTTTTTCAGCCACTTGTTAAGTATTTTTTTTAAATAGAAACCTTTATTTACAAGGACTTCCAAAATGGTAATCAAAGAAGTTGCAGCTCACCATCCCATCTAGTGAGTCATCCCATGTGGTTTAAATTCTTTGCAATTTATTTAAATCAACACTTACTGTAAACTTGATTGAAATCAAATTAATTCTTAATCCTGTTGGTCAATTCTTGAGAAATTTAAATATTGCTCTCAGAATGACATTTCTATCTTCTTCAAAATTCCACATACTGGAAAGAAAGGAGGGAAGGATAAGAAAACATCCTGCTCATTTGAAATGATTTACCTTGGCATTGAAAACAACATATTTATTCCTCTGCTACAGGGATAAATCTTCATATATCCTAGAAGATATTTATGTCTGTGAATTTCCCATTTGTGAACTAAACTTGGATTCTGCAAATAAAAAGGGGCCTGGACTGGCTTAGGAGCAACTGGCAATCTATTTTGTTTACTTTCCAGCTGCTTCTACCTCTGGATAAAAGTACTTCTAGGACACCAAGCCAATTATCTTCTATAGTACCCAACCCTAGCTCACTTTACATATTCATGACTGATAAACTAAGTAGAACTGTTTATTGATATTTACACCTTTCAATCCAGATGGTCAATTAAGAAAAATGGCAGCATAATATGAACATTAACAATGAAACTTCTATTTTTTTAAGGAACAGACATATATCTCCTTTATATCATTTTGATCTTCATAAAATATATATTTTTATTTATATATCTTTGAATTCAGCAAAAACATAGGTACTGGAAATATCCCACAATCTAAAAGCAGATGAAAAGACTACTTATAATCTTTACCCAAAAAATACCTAGGTTTAAAAAAAGGGATGGGAGTGCTGAGAAAGAGGAGAGGTAGGCAGCCGGAGTACAAAGAATTGTCCAAAAAAGATTAAAGGACAATAAAGGTAAAAACAACAAATTATCTCAAAGACTGTATCTGTTAAAATCAAAACCTTGAGCTTGCACTAATAAAAATCAACAAGTAGAAAATATAGAAACATGATAAACATTTTTTTCCCATACTAAAATGGGATGCTGCTGCCTTCTAGGTAGCCTGGAGTTAGGACTGAGAAAAGAATCACAAAGCTTTGTTTTGAATAACTCTTTAAGAGTCAAGAAAGGTAGGAACACCATTCTGTCAATTAGCTTGGGGAAAGCTCAGACACACCTAACTTACCTGGACTAAAAGACTCTGGGCTATGCCTCTGTGACCCAAAAAGAAGGTATCAAACTGAGAACCACAAGCTGTGCAATGGAAGTTTATCATTTTAAAATCTGAGATTTATTTTTAACCTGTGGAGAAGGGATAAGAGTGGCAACCTCATAAGGGTCTGCAAGTCCTGGGAAAATAAAACCCATTGTAGGTGTGGTACCAGAAATAGGGCGCTTCACCCATTCTGAAACATGTCAAAGAAATTAAATTATCCTACCTTCAAACACATCTAGAAAGTTTTGCTAAATGTGTGAAATTAAGAAAAATAAATTGGCCGAGCGTGGTGGCGCACTTCTGTTATCCCAGCACTCGGGAAGCTGAGGCAGGAGGATCACTGTGAGTTTGAGACCAGCTTGGGCTACATAGTTCCAGTTCAATCTCAACTACATAGTAAAACCCTGTCTCAAAAAATAAAAAATAAAAATAAAAATAAAAAACAGGTTCTGAGTTATTACTCGAAAATGATATGCAAAGACATTTGAAAGTTATGGATATTCCAAACCAAAATTTCATTCCACTGTTTGAACCTAATAGAATAACTCAGTAAACTTGATTTTTCCTCTACTCCAGACTGACTAGAAGTACTAAGGACAGGCAACAGCACAAAGTAGTGGGGAGACTGGGGGGACAGGGCTTGCAAAGGTACTCAGACTATGGTTCTGAATAATTACAACACAAAGTCTGTTCTGGGTACTAAGCTCCTTAAGAAATAACAGTGACACTATTCTAATTTACAGACATGTAGGGAAAACTCCATATTAGAAACATAATGATAGCTGAGCAGACACCAGAAACCACACACCAAGGATTCTACTCCTGCAATCTCAATGTGGGATTCAGCTCCTAGCAACCAAAATCTTACAGCACTCCTATAATGCATGAAAAGACAACCTAGTACTTAATTTAAATTTTGCAAAAGGAAAGAAGATTTATGGGCTGCTTAAAATCCAAAAGATTTTCTTTAAATCAAATTGATTTTCTTCAAGTTACTGATTTTTTTCTCTGTTATCTATTCATTCCCCCCAAATTAACAAAATGCTTAGTTCCCGGACAGAGGAATTTAAAAAAAATTTAAATGCTCACATCTAAACAAATGATCTCTTTTAAAAGCAGTTACATTGAGAGAATGAAAAGAGTGAGGCATCTAATGCTGGGGGAGAGGAAAAGCTGGACCCTTATCGTCCCCTCCACCCACACACCCAGGTGATTCAGGTGATCTGGTTCGAATCCTCACCACAGAGCTTACTAAAATTGACAAATGTTAAATATTCAGCTTCACAAACTCTGTAAAAATGAGTTGTTGTGACCTAAAAAAAAGGTATATACATATTTTACATAATACAATATCTTAATGGGTCATATTTACAAAGATTATTCACAGAAACACTGCAAACTTCTGATTCAGAAGGCAGTACATGGCCTTAAGAGTTTCAGAAGTTTATCTTCAAAAAGCATTATTGCTCTACCATATAGGCAAAGGGTGACACCAGTACTTTAAAAAAAAATAATAATAATAATCATAGTTCTTGTCCAACAGATTAGTGTAGACAAAAACCAGGAATGTGGTTCACCATTGCTCAAGACATCAAGAATATTGCATTTATCCATTACTTATTTACTTAAAATGCACTCAGCTGCACGTTAGCATACAAAAAACTGCCACCAATGCAATTAAATACTGTCATCTTATTTTCCCTTCTTCAAAGCTACTGGACATCAATAACAAGCCCTGGAAGTGAAGTCATCACAGGACCTTAGAGTCCAATGAAAATGTTCATAAGGAGAAGGCCTAGGACAATAAAAGCTAGGGACAGAGCAACCTCAATCAGCAAAGGACAAAAACCTCAGAAATGCCAAATCCACTGCATAAAGGGCAGAGTAAAATTACTACATGAAACAAAACACTTGAAGGCTGGGAGTGTGCTCTCTGTCCAATACTATAACTAGAGACAGAGATGTTCTGATCTCTCCACTGCTCTCTCCGGCCCACCTACATTTAGCTGAAAGACTTTGGCTAGCAAGGCAGAAGGAAGTAACACAGGAGAACATTGTGATCACATTCCTAAGAGGCAGAATGTCAAAAATACTCTGTTTTGAACACCATGATATACCAAAGTACAGGAGGAAAACAACAACAAAAAAGGTACTTGAGCTTAAGATTCAGTCCTGCTCAAATGACATAACTTGAAATATCCCTGATGGAGATCAAAGCTGGTCCTCACTCCACAAGTGGATGCCTGGACAATTATTCTTTACCTCCCAACAATCCTACAGCAGTAGCATTTGTGCAGTGATTTCCTTAGTGGTCCAGATATGGCTATGTCAGCAATATTTCTGATCAGGACCCATGGGCATCCCCGACATGGGCATGGAGTTCATGTTCATCTGTCCCAAGTGACCATTGCTGCCATTCATGTGCACCATACTATAGGCTGCAGGATTCCCCTGGTGAGCAAGCTGCTGCTGGGGGAAGGAGCTCTTTCTGGCTATATTTCCTGATGGCCAGCCCTTCATTTCTGAGGACTGATACAGGGGTGCAGTCTGTGGGTGCTGCATCATGGGGTTCTGGGGTGGACCTATCCTTGATGACATCACTGCATTAGGAGGACTGGGCACTCGACCAAAGGCTGGATCTGGTTGTTGTCCCACTCCATAATTTGGTGGGTATGGAAACTGCTGTGGTGGAGCCTGTGGCATTGCAGGCCCATGCCATCCATACTGGGGGAAGCAGTCACATTTGGAGGTGGGCTGAAGGCCTGGCTTTGCTGCTGCTGCTGAGGCTGCAGCATCATCACCACCCTCTGTTGTTGAAAGTGATGACTTAACAGCTCTCTGCTATGCTGGGCAACCATCTGGGCTTTTAGAAAACCCTGGGGCTGCACCATAGGCCTCATCACTGCAGCAGCACCAGCAGTGGGGTTCTCCATCTTCATTTCAAGTGCCTGCCGGCCACTTGTTTAGTATTTAATGAGCTCCTATTTTGTGCAAGGCATAAGCTGAGGAGCTGGATTCTCTTGTTGCTCAGCCTTCTGTCACTTTAATTATATACCTGTGATAATAATATTAAATAAATCAGAGAAAAGATTCATTTTGGCTTACAGTTTTAGAGGTTCTAGTCCATAATGAAGTGGCCTCATTGCTTTGGGCTTAGATCAATATAGCACGTCACAGTGGGAGTGCGAGGCAAAAGTGCTCAGTTTATCAGCCAGAAAGCAAAGAGTGTAAAAGGCAGAAGCCAGGATCTTGTGATCCTTTGGTAGGGCGTGCCCCAAATGACCTAAAGAGCTCCTATAACATACTACTCCACAAAGTTTCTTCTATCTGTGGGACAAAGTTGTTGATATATAAATCTTTGGGGGACACTCTAGATCCAAATGATAGCAACTATCAATGTCAAACAAGGCCCACTTCTTATTTTCAAGGAATTTACAGTCTAGTGTATGGCATGCACACACAACTAATTCTCATAGATGCAAAAATGACATCAGTGCAATAGGTTGTACATATAGCTTCAATAATTATGAACACCCAGGAGCAAAAAGATTTATTCTGAGCCTGGGATGGGGAAATTGGGAGGAAGAAGGAAGACTTCAAAGAAGAAGTAGGTTTTTTGTTTGTTTTTTGATGTTGGGGACTGAACCCAGAGCCTTGCACCTGATTAGCTGGCACTCTACCACCAAGCTACACTCCCAGCCCACGGCATGGGTTTTGATAGACAAAGAAGGAGAGTGTGGATGGCAGAATGACAGTGTAAGGCCCAGAGATTCAAGCACCTCAAGAGATTCCTGAGCACCCTGAGAGGCTGGAGAGCAGAGTTAGAGAGGACCTCAGGAAGATACAGATGGCTACCACTGAGAAGATGGGGTACGATTAGCTTGTGGAGAACCTGGGACACATCAAAGAGTTTGAGTTCAATTCCTGTAGCTGAATGGATGTCAAAGAAAGTTTTGGGGACAGTTTTTTTCAGTGGGAAAAGCCTACTCTAGCAGATGACTGGAGGATGAAAGGAACATATATAGAACCAGAGATAAGAAGAACAGATAAGAGATTCCCGTATTAAAAGCACATAAGACAGTATTTCCCTACAGTTTCCCCAAAGCCCTTTCCCAAGAGAGGCTTTGCAAAACATGACCTTTGTGGCCAAAATGTTTAGCAGATGCTGAGGGAGAAGAAAAATAAAATTTAACTCAGTTTCTCCTATTATACTCTCACAATAAGCTTCTGACCCCTAGTTTGTGCAGGATTTTCCCCCAACCATACACACATGAAAAGCAAGCACTGCAGCAGTGGGCTCCAATGGGGTATTCCTCTAATTCCATCTAATTCTGACACCTTCTCTCTGGAGAGAGAGTCACATCCTACAGGTGAGGGCTCAGGGCCCTCCACTTCAGGCATCAGTCACAAGGCCAGGCCTCTAGAACCTCTGATCAGCCAACTGTAAATCAGGGCTATAACAACAGCCTCCTCCTCGTGTTTGATTAATTTGCTAGAGCAGGTCACAGACTTTAGGGAAAAAGTTAGATTTATTGCCTTGTGATTTTTTTTTTTGTACTGGGAATTGAGCTCAGGATGTTGTACTTTCCAGGCAGATGTGGTGCCACTGAGCTAAATTCCTGGCCTTGCTTTTTGCTTTATTCCAAAGGATTTTACAAAATATACAGATGAAGAGGTGGATAAGTCAAGGCATGCAGGAAGGGGCCATTGCCCTCTCCCAGGGCACCACCTTCCAGGATCCTCCACTTGTTTGGCTATCTGGGAGCTCTCTGAACTTTGTCATTTTGGGTTTTTATGAAGTTTCATTATGCAAGCTTGATTCATTAAGTCCTTACCTATTGCGATCAGCTCATACCCCCTTTAGCCCTACCCCCCTCCCCTGAGGTTTAGGTAGTGAAACCAAAAGTTTCAACCTTGTAATACTGCTCTGGTACTTCGGGTGACCAGTCCCCATCCTGAAGCAATCTAGGGGCTACTAGCCATCAGTCAACTTATTTAGCATACAAAAGACATTTATCTCTTTGAAGATTTCAAGGATTTTGTGAGTTCTATGCCAGGAAACAAGACAAAGACAAAGTAAATATTTCACAACATCACACTACATATTGCAGGTCCCTCTTGAGTATTCACAAAATATATTAGCATATTCTTCTAATCTCTACGAAGACTGTTTCATCTAGCACTTTCTAAACTTAATTAACCACATAGTTCCTTGTTTTTCCTCCACAGACAACTCTGCAAAACTAGTGTTCATCTGTGTCAAGGTTATGAAAGTCAGTGAAGGACTTAGAAATTATTACAGATAGTAAGAGACTAAGGAGATTTAATGGCTAAATTTAATGTAGTATCCTGGATTTGATCTTGGAAGAGAGAAAAAAGGAAGTTAGTAGAAAACCTGGTGAAATGCAAGTAATATCTGGAAATTAGTTAATAGTAGTATGCTAATTCTAATTTCTTATTGTTCAGAAATTTACCATGGTAGTATAAGATTGTAACATCGGCTTGGCATGCTGGTACATGCCAGTAGTTCCAGTTACTTCAGAGACCGAAGCAGGAGAATTTCAAGTTCAAGGCCCACTTGAGCAACTTAGTGAGACTTTAGCAAAAAAAAAAGTAAAAAGGGCCGGGGATGTAGCTCAGTGGTAAACTGCCCCTCGGTTCAATCCCAGTACCACACACATAGACAAATGTTAACATCAGGGGGAGCTGAACAAACAATATACAAAATTTCCTCCACCCTGCAATTCTTCTGCAAATATAAAATGTGCACAAACCAAAAAAATAATAATAAAAAATCTTAGTGTTCATTAAAACACTCCCTGAGAAATTATGATGTAAATTGTGGTTTAGTAATATATTTCATTTTTAAGATTTGGAATTAAAAGTGTTCCTTTGTTTTTACTACACAAATGAAACAGTCTCTCAAAATTTTTTTTTTTTATTGAGTTTATTGGTACATTTAGGGATACAGTACAGTTACATTCATTGTTGGGATCATGTACCTTTACATGGCAAGTCTTGATTCTCATTTTTTTCCCCTTACCTCTGCCCTCCCTTCACCCCCTCCTCCCCTCCCCATCTACAAACACTTTATTTTCATCTTTTCATTCTCTCACATTTTTTTCTTTTCCCTTTTTGTTCTTCCCCTACGTATCACACCTTCCCTACACCTTTAGCTCCTTTCCTCCCATTTCTAAATGTCAGTAATCTTATTAGAATCTTATGCATTGTTGCAGAATATTCACACCAGGGAAACTATTTGGTATTTACACATGTGGGACTTATTTATTTCACTTAGGAGTATATCTTCAATATGTATCCATTTTCCTATGAATGAATCTATTCTCTCGCTCTTTATGGCTGAGTAATATTCCATTTTATAGAAAAACCACATCTTCTTTATCCAGTTTCCAACGGATGGGCAAATAGGTTGTTTCCAAGAAGTCTCTCAAATTTTTACAGCTAATATAAATGAGACATATAGCAAATCATTAGTGTGTAATAAATACTAGTTTTCTTTTCCATCTCTCTTTTTTTTACAAAAAAAAAAATATTGAGTGCTTATGTAACAGGTGGCCAATCCTTTGCAAAATGTCTTTTGATTTCCCTTCCTTTTGCCCAACTTTCTAAATACCTGTACTCTAAAACCTGTAAATTCTAAAACCTGCACTAAATGATAAAGGCTGCTAAATAATTTTCTTTAGATTTCAAAGCCCAGAGCATCTGGTAACCTTCAGGCAATATCAGAATATGTAATGCCTCTCTATATTCTAGTCTTGTGCATCAACTAACACAAAGCGTTCAACTTGCTGTGAGTTTTAACTTGCAGAAAAGTAATACCAGTCCAAAGGATCATAGAAAATAACCTCAGAAGTCAAGGTTAATTAGAATGTTTCAGCCATGGGAGGAGCACAAGCCATGCATGATGAAGACTCCACCCAGCATGTAGTTTCCTGCCCATTGCCCCCCCCGCACCTTTCTCCTCCCTACAAAAGCTCTTTTCTCTAAGATTTTTTTTTCCCTGATACAATAGCCTTCCCCATCTTCTCAGTGTGCTGGCCTCTGAATAAATCCAATTTCCTTCCCACCAACACTCATCTCTCAAGTATTGGCTTTCCAGTGGTGAGCAGATAGGGTTGGATCTGGTAATACTTACAGAAAAGAAACACTTTTATGTAGTCACAAAGTTATGTTTTCAAGTTGGAGAGCTTTGTCAAAATTTATTGTATTTCAACAGCAGATAGAGGAGGTCGAAAGGGACACTTAACACATAAATATGGAGTCTTCCTAAGGAAGACAGGAGCTGATGCTGCACAATGGCCAATATTTTATAAGGAATGATCAAAATATATAGTGAATTTTACATTTAAAAAACTTATTATAGTAAAAGAAATGATGGATCAAACACAGGGAAAATAATCCCTCTAACTTTAAACATATTTAGGTTATCATTTTTTTCACTTTCTGAAGAAAGTTTTGAAGTTCCCTTTTGTAAATGTCTTCATGAGGTATCATGAAAATATAATGAATGAGGCTTCTAAGTGCCAGCCAGTGGAAATGTAGGCTCTTAAAATGATGACAGTGTCAGGAGAGGTATGTAGCTCAGTGATCCTGCATCTGCCTGGCAGGCACAAAGTCCTGAGTTTGATCCTGAGTACTGCAAAAAAAAAAAAAAAAAG